CAGCCGAGTGTAATTTTGGTTCTTGTAAGCAAGCACCAACGGGAAAACCTGGAAAGCAACATCTGAAGCTCACCCCGATTACCCCTGAGGCCGCGGATATTCCACTGTAAATAGGCCATGATTGGCGATGAAGAAAATACCAGGAATCCGTAGGGAAAGGCACCTACGGACTAGAGGGGTTAGAAAAGTCAACGTGTGGCAGCATTGGAAGATGTTCAAGCAGCGAAGGAAAGGAGCGTTGCGAAGAATGGGGTTGTGAAGATGGAGGAGAGGGAAGAGAAGGAACAGGAAGTGAATCAGTGTCCATTGAAGGTTTAGTCTCTGCAATATATTCTGAAATGGCTTCAAGTGTTTCTGAATTCAAAGATGTATGGGAGACCATATTGGAGATAGAAGGAGGAGGGTGAGTAAAGATTGGGACAGTAATGGACTGTACCAAAGTAGAGGGGGAGGTAAGAGTGTAAGGGACTGGAGATGAAGTGTGGGGGGGGGGGGACAGAAGAGGCAGAAACCTGGAGGTGGCAGAAGAGGAGAAACTTGGAGGGGACGGGGGTGGAAGGCATAGTACGAGGAGGAGGGTGAATCTCCACACTTGTAATAGAGCCAGAGAGAGGGGAAGAACTTGGTACAGAGACTGGAAAGGTAAAGTGTGGAGGTGGAAGAAGGGAAGGAAGGGGCAAAGAAGATTTGAGCAATGTGGATTTTTTGGACTTCTGAGAAGTAGAGGGGCGATTGTATTAGTGTCGTACGAGGTCTTGTCGATACTGGGGCTTGTGAGGAAGGACGCGAAGATGTGAGAACAGACTGAGTTGTAGTCGGGACGTCAGAGCCAAGGTCAGCAAAAGGATTAGATGCTGGAGTGGCTATGGGAGGGGTAACAACAGAGGAGGCTGCAGAAGATGGGACCCCAGAATGGGGGATGTTTGGAAACACGAGAATAAGAAACACGGGGTAGTCTCCCTTGGAGGCGGAGATGAGTAACTGCCATAGCATAAGGGAGACCTTCTGCCTCTGAGGCAACGGATTTCACGTTCATTTAAGTAGACCTGGCAACGGCGGGAGTACGAAGGGTGAGCTTCATAACAATTAAGGCAAGATGGAGGTTGACTGCAAGATGTATTAGAATGGTCGTTGGCACCACAGACTGGGCATTCGGCCATAGATCTGCAATATTTCGCTGGGTGACCAAAACGCCAGCAATTTCTACACTGTTGCGGTGTAGGTATCACCTTTCGAACTTGTAACCGATGTCCCGCGACATATACAGAGGACGGGAGTTCTCGGCTGTCAAAAGTTAAACGAGCTACATTGCAAGGGTAACGTCTCCGCCCACGGGCAGGAAGGACATAAGTGTCTACTTTGAGGATTGGGAGATCCTGGAGTTCCAGCTGTTCAAGAATGTCATTGCCACATGACTGGAAATTGTGTTGGACTATGGTTTGGGGCAGAATGACAGTACCACTACAAGAATTGAGAGAAAGATGTTTTTCAATAGTGATAGGAGTAGTATCTATATGCAAAAGGAGAGAAAGATCATGAGCTTGGGTAGCATTCTGGACAGTGACGATGCGCGTACCGCTCTTGAGAGCATGAAATGAAATATCTCTACCAACATGACACAGGAGCGCTTTGCCAATACTATGGTCAGAAAGGTAAGCAGAAGAAGTCGGTCTTAAAGTAAAGAATTTAGTCCATTGTGTGGTCTGAAACTGAGCGTGGAGAGGGAGTGCATGACGTGTCGGTCTTTTCCGAGTAGAATGGGAAGGTAACGAAGGAGCATCATCAGGAGATTGACGTTGGCGTTTAGGAGTAGGACCGGAGTTGGTCTGGCGTGAAATGGGCGGGCGATTCAAAAATTGCCGTACCATAGAGGGAGAAGCCGGAAGCATAGTCAAAGGAGAGCGGAGTTCAGACAAATCGAAGGAGTCAGTCGAAGCCCCGGTACCTGAAGCGGGTGAGGAAACAGCACCAGCAAGAGGTACAGGGGCATCAGGAGTGTCCGAAGAGTGGTCTAAAAACAAGGCAGGGTCAGAATGGGATGCGGTATCAAGAAGGGGCCTGGGGGTAGTGGGTTCATGGATTGGGTTCTCCATGGTTAGGTTACTCCTTTGCTTTTTGTTTTTAAGAAAAAAAAAAGAAAGAAGAAAATAAAATAAAAATAAAAAAAAAGAATAAAAAAAAGGGGGGAGTGGGGAGGAATAGTTCCCAGGAGGAATGAAAGGGCCGGAAATCTCCCTCCGTGCCCAAGAGGACCTCAGCACCGCTAGTAGCGCAGATGCAGCATGGAACCCGTGCCATACCCTACCCTTCATGCCAGTAAACCAGCAATCCGGGATAGCAACCTCACATCTGCCGAGCTACCTCGGTGGATAAAAGAGAGGGCGACCGGATATCCGCCACAAAGCATACCTCCTTCGGCCACCACCCCCGGAATCCGAAAGGTGGTTTCCAGAGATAAACCCGTCGCCCGAAAGACACCCAAAGCTACTCCGGGATACCGGAGAGGGATCGGGACATCCCCAAGCGATCCAGATTCCATGGCAAACTACGCCACCGCCAAGAACCTCAACGGAATGGGATGGACCCCGGTATCCTTTCCCCTACCTAGGAACTAGCGTGCCTGTGGGAGAAATCCCAAAGGCCAAAAAGAGGAATGGCAAAAGGGAGGGGTGGGGAGGAGGAGGAAGAAAGGAAAAAGGGGAGGATGGGATAGGGGAGGGGAGATTTGGGGGTAATTAGGTTCAGTCTGAGGAAGAAGACCAACAGGTCTAATTCCTCAGACCAAGAGCCTCTTCACCACGCCAAGGAGCCCCCCCTTGAAGAGGATTTTGGCCCAAGCCCACTCCTTAGGCCTTAGAGGCAATCTACCATCCTTCCTTAAGAACTTTTTAATTGACAGACATTTCCGTGTTTGGGTTAATTATGTGCTCTCCCCGGACTTTATCCAAGCTGAAGGTGTCCCCCAGGGATGTGTTCTGAGCACAACACTTTTTCTCCTAGCTATAAATGATTTGGCCTCTAGTCTTCCATCCAATATTTGGTCATCACTCTATGCTGATGACTTCGCTATTGCCTGTGCAGGCGCTGACTGTCACCTCATTACAGTTTCTCTCCAGCATGCGGTCGACCATGTTTCCAATTGGGCCACCACACATGGGTTTTAATTTTCCAGTACCAAAACTCGCCAAATTACTTTCACTAGACGCTCTGTCATCTCCAATCATGCTTTATACCTCTATGGCACCCGTATCCCTGAACGTGATAGTCAGGTTTCTAGGCTTCCTCTTTGACCGTAGGTTATCCTGGAAACCTCACATTACCTCTCTGAAGACAACTTGTCACAGTCGGCTGAACCTTCTTAAAACCCTTGCTCATCTTTCATGGGGAGCTGATTGTTGAACTCTCCTTTGCCTACATTCCACCCTCATTTTATCGAAACTTGACTATGATGACCAGATCTATTCAGCTGCCTCTCCTGCTACTCTATCTAGCCTCAACCCCATTCATCACCAAGGATTACGTTTATGCCTTGGTGCTTTTCTCTTTCCCTGTTCAGAGCCTCTATGCAGAAGCGAACTTTCCATTCGCCTACATTCGCTCTTGTCTTCTCTTCAATTTCCACCTTTCTATGTTCATGTAGCATCTCACTTTTCCCTACCCCCCTGGGAAGTTCCAGCTGTTCGAGTCTGTTCTTTCTCACTCCCTTGCTCGAAAGCCCAACTGTCTACGGTAGCTTCCCGCTCTTTTTCTTGACCACTTCCACTCTCATTCTCATGCCATTGCAGTGTACACAGATGGCTCTAAGTCTTCTGACGGCATAGGATTCGCAGCAGTGTTTCCGGACAGCGTCGTACGAGGGCATTTACTATCTTCGGCTAGTATCTTTACTGCTGAATTGTATGCCAATCTTGCAGCACTTATCCGTGTTGCATCTCTGCCTGTGTCATCATTTGTGGTTGCCTCAGACTCCCTTAGTGCTTTACAGGCTATACAGAAATTTGATACACCTCACCCCTAAGTCCTCCGTATCCAATTTTGGCTACTCCGCATCTCTACCAAGCATAAAGATATTGTTTTTTGTTGGGTCCCTGGTCATGTTGACGTACAGGGCAATGAACAGGCAGACACTGCTGCGCAGTCAGCAGTACATGACCTACCAGTTTCATATAGAGGTGTTCCATTTACGGACTATTTTGCTGCAATAGCTACCCACCTTCACAACTGTTGGCAACAACGTTGGTCTACTCTACTCGGTAACAAACTTCAATCTATTAAACTGAGTATAGGTTACTGGCCGTCTTCTTGTCACCAGTGCCAAGGTTGGGAGACTACTCTCTCCCATCTCCGCATTGGCCATATTCGTCTTACTTATGGATATCTCATGGAGAGGCGCCCTGCTCCCCTCTGTGAGAATTGTCAGGTTCCATTATCGGTCAGCCACATTCTGTTAGACTGCCCACTTTATCAACGAGCACGCAGAATTTACCTCCAATGTCGTCTTCGCTCCGCTGCTCTCTCTTTACCTTCCCTTCTCGCTGATGGACCCACTTTTCATCCGGACACTCTCATTGACTTTTTGACAACTGACTGACTTCACAAACTCTGATGATGCCTTCAGCCCTTTCTACCTCGATCTCTTGCTACCCTCTACCCTGCACTATCCCCTGCCCCGCTGTTTTCTGTAACCAACTGATTGCCCCTCTTCCCCTTCTGCCACCCAGTACCCTCGCTTCCTTTCCTACCCTGCAGCGCTGTATAGCCCTTGTGGCTTAGCGCTTCTTTTTTATTATAATAATAATTGTCTACAGACTGGCATTTGTAAATAATTAACCGGTTCCTAAGTGGCCCGATAGTAAGTTAGGATTCTACTGTACATTATTACCCGTGGATATGTTGTACTGACTAGTTAGTAAAGTGTTAAAAAAAATTTGTTTCCTTTTTATTAAGCTTTTATAAATAAGTTATTTGTTTAACCCTGATAGCATTTTTTTCTTCTTCAGGAGACTGGATTACTTTGTCCTTTCTGAACGCTTGGTTCCTCAACTATGTGACAGTCTCATCCGGGACACACTCACTGGGTCAGATCACTGTCCTATTACACTGCTGATGCACATGTGATACCTCTTTAATTGTCCTTATTAGTTAACCTCCATACTGGTGAAATGTGAAGTAATATAAATACATAGGTCAAATAAATAATGTCTTGTTTACCTTATATAAAAACTTGTTAGTTTTCAGTGTAAGAAGTGTTTTAAACTTACAATGTATGCTCAAAATGGTGTCACTCTTTTATATCAATTTTACAAGTAATTTGTTCTGAAATTACCTTTCTTTTTTATATAGAATACAGTACTGTGTATCAAAATGCTAATTAAGAATTTTCAATTGTTACATTCAGCATTTGCATCTTTATAGTATTTTATGTTATAAAGCATTATCAGCACATGCTAAGTTTGATGTGCCTTGAAATGCACTTAAATGTTTTTCATACACTTCTTGAATATTAAATTTCCTGCAGGGTAACTCCTATGATCTTTTCCAAGTGCCATGCTTTTGAATTTGCTCTACACTTTGACCATGTAACTTTAATTCCCTTGTATAATATTCTTTCACTCTTGAAGGATCATTTGCCTGTTTTTTATGTATATAAAACCATTCCATGCCTATAAAAATTTTGTTTGACTTTTCCTTCACGAAATCATAACTTCATTGAATATTCCTTTTTATTTAATTTATTCTACAATTGCACACAACCCACTCAAAATATCAATTAACAAATTGTGCATAAATTTTTGTATTTATGAAAGATGTAAAATTTGCTGAAATTTTAAAGTACATCTTGTATTGATAAGGTACATGTATTTCCATTTGTTGATATTGTTCATTACTAAGAGCAGTGTTTTTATGAAGTCAGTTGTATACATCGATATGAAGCAGATAAATGAAACTTATTTTTCAGGAAATAGTATAAAATTCGAGGTCGGATATTACTACATGATTTGTACATGGCTTGGAATAATCGAGAAAAAACAGCAGTAACGTGTGGCTCAGTGTGACATGTTTATTGTGTTCATATGTTAAGTGTGTGTAGTAAAAAATAAATACTGTCAGTGTTAACTCTCTTATTTATCTCTCTCCTTAAATCTTCAAGAGGTAACCTGGTTGATCTGCCAAGTGTCAGATAAACCTGGCTGTGGGTCAGTAGGCTGTTAACAGGAACAGCCTAGTCAAATACAATCAGTAAGGAAGCCTAGCCGAAGACTGAGCTGCAAGAGCTGAAAAATCGTCAAAACTGGTTACAGATATGAATCAGTACTCGACAATTCAGCGAACATAGTGAGCTGAAGACTCATATTTTCACATTTAGTATTTCCGCACATACTAAAATGGGGGCAAGAAGCTGATTTAGTGGATATAAAGACATTTATGCATAGGATTAAGCTTTAAGTTTCAAGAGCAAAGAGCTCCTGATCCTAGAAATTAGACCTATCCTCAGTTAACTTAAATCAAACTAAACATTCCATTCCCCCAGTTACAGGAAGACGCATGGATTCTGAGTTTTCCAAGGTTATAAATTGTGGATAATGTGCACTCTTGAGAGATGTCTACAACGAAGGCTCCATTATTTTCCTTTATACCCAGCAGCTTACTATCAGTGATTTGTATGTTAGTGACAGGCTTTTAATCCAAGGAATTAGAGCTGCCCTCCCTTGGATCGAATCTAATTGCCTTCTGTTACCCAAACACACTTCTATAGGTTTAGCACATTTTAAATATACAGGAAGGTCCTGTTTGTACTGCTCTTAGGTTCCCGCAAGCGGGTGGAAAAAGTTTTTTCATTATTGAATATGTCTAAGATGCCTGTTAACATGTTTTCACTATCATGTATTAGTACGTAATACAGCTAGGCACAAAAAAAAAAAAAATTGCAGTACATGCAATACTTACCTTAAGATGATAGCCCTTGAGGTTTAGTGCTGCTTTTTTATTATAATAATTACCTTAAGATGGTGCTAGTTACCCTTCCCGTATGCAATTGTGTGAAAAAGGCAGAAAAGTGGTAAAGTGCCAAATATAATGAACAATGCTCAACTGAAAGTCATGTTGGTGAGGGGCTCTTGATTTAGGGAATTGGATCTGTGCTCCAGTTCCCCGAATTAAGCCTGAGTGCAGAGGTTGTTCATGGTTCAGTGGTAGGGGCATTCAGCTCACTATCAAGGAGATCCAGTTTGGTCCTGGGGAGAGGTGAAGATATTTGGCATGCTCATTTACACCTATTGTGCCTGCTCTCCTTGATGCTGGTGAGGGAATTGGATCTTTGCTTCAGTTCCCCTGAATTAAGCCTGCATACCTTCCACATCCACCCCATAGGCGCTGTATAATCCTATGGGTTTAGCACTTCCCCCTTGATTATAATAATAATGTCCCTGCACTACATTCACCTTGCATCCAACAACTGCAGTTTGTTTCTTTATGCCCGAAAGTTAATTTGGCTGCTAAAACCTCACACTTTCTTTCTTGAACACATTTAGTCTCATTCTTGTGTCATAACTGTGTACACTGATGACTCTTAAATCCCTCAATGGTGTCTGGTATATAGCTGTTTTTCCAGCAATAATCCAAGGACATTTACTGGAGTTGGCAAGTATTTTTCACAACAGCATTTTATGCAATTCTTACTGCTATCATACACATGGCGACCATGTCTGCCTCCTCATTATAAATATGTACAACCAGAAATCTACCCATCAACGTTTTATCCACCAATACACAGTCGACAAACTACTGTCGTTACTTCCTATATCATATCTCATATACTTATTTATCTTTTCTTTAAAGATGTGTATTATCTATTACCAAACCTCTTTCATTACAAAGTTCATTCAAGGGCCTCCCATTATCATTTACCCCTGGCACCCCAATTAAATTGCTATGCCCTCTGCAACAGTTTCTTTCACATTAGCATTCAGGTTCTCTACAACAATTACTGTCTTAGTTCAAAAGTTCCTATACACTTGCTTCGGTGGAAATAAATGGTATAAAATACCGACAATGGAAATATAAACACACATGCAGTATAATGTGATCCTTTATTGACAATGTTTTGCCCACACAGTGGACTTTTTCAAGTCACAAACAGATCTACCTGGGTGGAAGGTACGCGAATATTTATTGTCAGGTTCAGAATGCTGGGTCAGGTGGAGAATGCTGCATCTGATGATCTACTGAGTGGGGTTATAGTCTAAACCCCTCAAGGAAGGTTCCTTGATGTTGGTGAGGGGCTCTTGATTTAGGGAATTGGATCTGTGCTCCAGTTCCCCAAATTAAGCCTGAATGCCTTCCACATCCCTCCCCAGGCGCTGTATAATCCTCCGGGTTTAGCGCTTCCCCCTTGATTATAATAATAATATAGTCTAAAAATCTTAGGTAATTTGGAAGGGAGACTGGATAAGTTTGTGAGCAGACCTGCAGTGTTCCTCCAATCCTATGCTCTTATGTGGGATAGCGATGAAGTTTCTTGGCAAGTGGTTCAGCTATGTTATAGAAGCCATTGTTCTGGTTGAAGTTGCTGTATAATCCTCCGGGTTTAGTGCTTCCCCCTTGATTATAATAATAATAATCTGGTTGAAATTGTTGGATATAGAAATAAACGATGATTCCAGGATTCTTCGGCACTGAGTGTTGAGTTTCTGTAGTTTATTAAATGGTTGTGTGAATTAGTGTTGTACACAGGCATTCCTTGTATCGTCAGACCTGCTTGCGTATTGGTGTTCTGAAATACGTGTTTGGAGGTCTCTTGATGTTTCGCCCACATATAATTTGCTGCAGTCATTACAAGGGATTATGTATAGTATACACCCTGCAGAGGATGGAAGCTTGTCTTGTCTATTACTGGTAATGTCCTTGATGGTCGTGGTTGTGGAGGTAGATACTTGGAATGAGGTATTGGAAAAGATGTTGGAAACGTGTTTGGCAATGGAGTTGGTGGGGAGGACTATGTATCTCTTCTCGGCAGTGTCTTCTCTGGGTGTGTTGAAGATGTTTAATGCCTGTCGTCTGCAGTCTCTGATGAAGTGATGAGGATAGTGAAGTTTGGAAAATACTTGTTCAATTATAGCGCATTCTTCCTCAAGGAACTCATTGCTGCAGATTCTGAGTGCGCACAGGAAAAAGCCTATAATTACACCACGTTTAGTTTTGGTGTTGTGGTGAGAGTAGAAGTGGAGAAGATCGTTTTGGTTGGTAGGTTTTCGATAGACTTTAAAATGAAGTTCATGGTCAGCTTTGCAGAGAAGAACATCAAGGAAAGGAAGAGTGTTGTCGACTTCTTCTTCAAGTGTGAACTGGACTGAGGGCTCGACCTGGTTGAGCTTGTCTTGGAGAGCTTGAACGTTGACGCGTCTGGGAGTTATGAGGAAAATGTTGTCAACATAACGGAGCCTTGTGACAGACGAAGGAATAATGGTGGAGAAACGCTCGGCTTCCAGATGTTCCATGTATAGGTTCGCCAGGACTGCACTGAGTGGCGAACCCATGGGTAGTCCAAAAGTCTGCTGAAAGAGGTGATTTTCGAAAGAGAAACACGTAAAGCCAACACATAGTTCAACAAGGTCGATGAAATCGCTGGCTGGAATAGGAAGATCAAGTGAATCGTCAATTTTCCTGCTTCACATCCAAAACCTCTCTCTCTCTCTCTTACATTCTTCAGGTGCATAAACACTTAAGTAAGTAAGTTTATTCAGGTATACACAAATACAGTTACATAGAATTATCATACATAGCAGCATATGTGTAGAGAACCTAGGATAACCCAAAAAAGTCAGACAGAGTGACTTATTTCCATTGGGGTCCTTTTTACTTATTATTATAATATAAAGGTTATAATAATTTCTTATTCTAAAATGAAGATAACATCTTATTATCATACTAAAAAGACTATCTACTACACGAGGGTCATTAAGACTATCTACAATACGAGGGTCATTACTAGGAATAAGGTAAAATTTACACGTATGTTAGATAAAAAATAGAAAATCATTCCCCTCCCTTTCTGTAGCTACATTCATCAGACACCTTTTGGCAGTCTTCTTGAACTGGTTCATGCTATGACTGGCTTTGACATGTGCGGGTAGTCTGTTCCATTCCTTTATTGCTGTACAATAAAAGGTGTTTGAGGCCTGGCCACTGACTGTGGGTACTACAAAGTTGTGCTCTCTCCCCCTAGTACTATGATTGCTTTGGTTCCCAACCTTGACAAAATTGACAGCAAGATATTCTGGACATTGTTTGTGAGCAATTTTATAAACATGATTTAGCTTCAGTTGTTTTACTCTGTCTTCAACATTCAGCATATCCAACTGCTGTAATTCATCCTGGCCTACATGTTCTCTTGGTCCCAGCCCCAGGATGAATCTTACGATTTTGTTCTGGGTGATTTGCAGTCTATCTTTCAGTTTTTTTGTCAAGGCAGAGTACCATGAAGAGCAAGCGTAATCCATATGGCATTGTATAAGGGCTAGACACAGGGTCCTGCGAGCCTCCGTAGGTAGACACTGTGCTTGTCTATACAGGAACTTCAGTCTGGCATTCGCTTTCTTTACTACACTGTTCCCTATCAATTCTCCTGACATGCATGGGTCAAAGGGGATTTCCAGATATTTTACTGATGAAACCAAAGTGATGGGCTTCCAATTGCACTGAACATTAAAATTATTTACCCTTCTCAGTTTATGTTTCGTGCCAAAGAGAATGGCTTCAGTTTTCCCTAGGTGTAATGATAGTTTGTTGTCTACTAACCATTTGCTGCAGGACTCCAGTTCCAGTGTTAAAACATTAGCAATATCTTGTGGGTCTTTACCTGTCACTAACAGAGCACTGTCATCTGCATACAGTAGGAGTTTGCACTTGACACTGATAGGCATATCATTGACATAACATAAGAATAATAAGGGACCCAGAATACTACCTTGGGGAACTCCACATGTTATCGGCAGGTGTTCTGTCTTTAATGGTGAAATACTGATATCTATTAGTAAGGGAAGATTTGAAGTAAGCAAGCGCATGGCCTCTTATACCGTAATGGTCAAGTTTGTGGAGTAGGATGTCATAGTCTACTGTGTCAAAAGCTTTTCTTAGGTCAATAAAAATTCCTAGTGGATATTCCTTCTTCGCTCTTTTACTCATATACAATAATATTTATTTCTCTTTTCCAGTCCCTAGTACACTTAGTATCTGCTTTAGCAATCACCACTGAAATACTAGCAAAATTTCCTCTTCAAAACCCTCTTCACTGCTCACGTTTCCCTTAACTTCACAAACCCCTTACAGTTAACCCCTTATTACACACTCCCCTTCCCACCTCACTTCACAGTCTGGCTTCACCAATTAACTTCTAACTCTTTCCATTCTGGTAGACCAGAAAGGTTTAATCAATGGTTTTATCCTTCCAAATCCCCCTCAATTCCATTTATCGGGGGTTGTGTAGTGTTGTTGACTCCTGACCTGTTCTGCTGTCTCAGCCATTTTTAAAATAACTGAGGGGAGTAACGCCACCTACATCCTGACTTTCCTTATTCCAATCCACATAATTCTTGAATTTATATTTTTATATTCCTTCTTTTCCTTCCGTAACTGATCATTCAACATTACTCCTACTCCTTCCTTAGCTCTAACTCTCTCAGATAAACTTGAGCTAATCCTATCAATTTCTCTCCACTGAAAATCTCCCAAATCCTTCAACTTTGTTTCACTTAGAGGTAGGACATCCAGCTTTTCATTAATAACATTGACAATCAAATCTTTCTTATCTGCATTACATCCATGCACCTTCAAACAACCCAGCTTATAAAGTTCTTTTTAAATTTAGTAATATAAAAGGGGTTACTAGCTCTTTTCTCCTAGTATATTAGTCGTATCTTACTGAAACATTTAGTCATTATTGGGTTGCAGTCTCTTCAAAAAAATTTGTTCAATTAGTCGACGCTAAATAAGGATAGCAATGCATGCAACCATATGACCTGTCTTTGTAATACTCATTTGTGCTTTATAGTAATCTGTTTACAATAATGTTTTATCACTGATTTCATCATTGCTTAGTTAATCTTAAGTTAATTTTAAGCCAGCCCGTAATGCTATGCATATAAGTGGCTTTGGCATGCTGCTCTTACCTGTATTTTTTTTTTTTTGTACCTCTGTATGTATGCTTAAATTTCTAAATAAATAAATAAAATAAATAAATAGTCTCCAGATGTCACATATCTGTGTTGTATGACCTTTGTAGGTTTAGCACTTCTTTTTTATTATTATAATAATCACATATCTTATCATTAGCAATGAAATGCTTTGCCATATCTTGTATGGTTTGCAGGAAATTGTCTGTGAAAGGTGGTTGTATGGGACACAATATTTATTCTCGCTTGTCATGTTTCTTTCACTTTGAATAAAGGTTGTTAGTGCACTCAGCTCACACACTGAGGTCTGTGATTCAATCCCCGGTACGGGTGGAAATATTAGGACATGTTTCCTTAAGACACTGCTGTCTATGTTCACCTAGCAGTAATATAGGTACCTGGGTGATAGTGGACCCGTATGGGTCGCATTATTATTATTAAAGATTCGCCGGTATTCTCCTGGCCCGGGCCTTTTCCAAGTGGTGGCCCGGCCTTGGCTCCCTCTTTAGGGAGTGTCTGAGACCTAAGTCTCCCATGGGAGGAGGCACAAGGACCTCCGCTCTGTTATTCTTTTCCGTCGCCTGTAAAGGGAGCGCCTGTCTCTTTCTATTTTACATCTACTCCTCCTTTTTCTTAGAGGAATAAGCCTTGTGCATACATCGAGTGCCACCAAGTTAATCTGTTCTAGGCATAAGTTGGGGTCTGTGTTGCTTAGTATATCTTCCCAGCTTATATCGGTTAGGACTTGGTTTACTTGGTCCCACTTTATGTTTTTGTTATTGAAGTTGAATTTGGTGAATGCTCCCTCGTGACTAGTCTCATTATGTCTGTCTGGGGCTCCACGCATACATCTCTGAACCTCAATTATGTTGTGATGAGGAGGCACAAGTACCTCCTCATCTTTGGGACCAACTGTCCCCAGGCCTAGCCACAAGCTAGGCCTCTCTGGTCTGCCATCCCCGCCCCAAGGAGGCTAATGGGAATGACAGTCTTGTGAGCTGAAAGCTCTGGCTCAGGCACCTACCCTAGAAGGGCTGGGCTGGGCATGGTGTCGATCGTGGGTCGCATCCTGGGGACAAAACTGACCTAATTTGCCTGAAATGCTCTGCAAAACTACGGGATTTCTATATAGCAGTATGTTATTAATGTCAGCTAGGCCTGTATACCTTATACATGTACTTGTAGAAATAAAGATTATTATTATTATTATTATTATTATTATTATTATTATTATTATTATTATTATTATTATTATTATTATTATTATTATTATTATTATTATTATTATTATTATTCCCAGCCACCCTACAATAGGGTTTGATACGGCGTCAGCTCTCAGTGGCTCTATATAAAAACAGATATACAACTTACACTATGATCAATTTCTCTAATATTAAGTAATCTGTAAGTAAGTGAGTTTATTCAGGTATACACAAATACGGTTACATAGATTATCATACATAGCAGCATATGTGTAGATAACCTGGGATAACCCAAAAAAGTCAGTCAGAATTACTTATTTCCATTGGGGTCCTTTTACCTCATTATTATAATATAAAGGTTATAATATCTTATTATTATTCTATAATGGAGATAACATCTTATTATCATAATATTAAAATTATCTACTACACGAGGGTCATTAAGACTATCTACAATACGAGGGCCATTATTAGGAATAAGGTAAAATTACACATTACTTTAGTCTGCCCATAATGCCGTGGCATGATAATGGCTCTCTTTGCACTGCAACTCATTATTGTAATTACATAATCTCAATGTAAACAGCTAAATAAATACTGAATAACTGTGTCTCATAAATGTATAACCTGTGACCCTATCAGACTATGTTTTTTTTAATTACATTACCTAATAGAATACTCCATTCTCTTGAATGCACAGTAACTCCTCTAATGACCATATGACCTGTTCTGCACTACAAATCATTGATGCATCGACACCATGCCCAACCCTTCTAGGGTAGGTGCCAGAGCTTGCAGCTCACAAGACTGCCATTACCATTAGGCCCCTTGGGGCGGGATGGCAGACCAGAGAGGCCTAGCTTGTGGCTAGGCCTGGGGACAGTTGGTCCCAAAGATGAGGAGGTACTTGTGCCTCCTCCCATGGGAGGCTTAGGTCTCAGATACTCCCTAAAGAGGGATCCAAGGCCGGGCAACCACTTGGAAAAGGTCCGGGCCGGGAGAATACTGGCGAATCTTTAATAATAATAATAATAAATCACTGATGATCGACACCATGCCCAGCGCTTCTAGGGTAGGTGCCTGAGCCAGAGCTTGCAGCTCATAAGACTGTCATGCCCATTAGCCCCCTTGGGGCGTGGATGGCAGATCAGAGAGGCCTAGCTTCTCCCTACGAGCCCAGTGAGGTCGGGGAATGTGGCTAGGCCTGGGGACAGTTGGTCCCAAAGATGAGGGGGTATTTGTACCTCCTCCCATGAGAAACTTAAATCTCAGACACTCCCTAAAGAGGGAGTCAAGGCCGGGCCACCACTTGGAAAAGGTCCGGGCCAGGAGAATACCGGCGAATCTTTAATAATAATAATAAATCATTGATTTTATTCGATTTGATCGTATTATATTATACATTGTTATGATACAAATTTATACAACTATAATGTTTCTTATTCGAAATGTTCATTTGTACTTCATGTTGTAATTTGTTTAATGTAATTTTTACCACTGACTATATCATTCCTTAGTTAATCTTAAGTTAATTTTAAGCCTGCCCATAATGCTCTGCATAGAAGGAGCTTTTGGCACGTACACCAAATCACTATATTTCTTTGTACAACTATGTATCATGTCCAAATAAAAAAATAAATAAATAAATAAAATAAATAACACAAAACGAACCCAAGTTAAGAGACTCCCGACCAAGCTGATGTCTTGATCTGGGGTCCATCTGATCTAACTGATCGACACCATGCCTAACCCTTCTAGGGTAGGGTAGGTGCCTGAGCCCGAGCCTTTAGCTCATAAGGCTGTCATTCCCATTAGTCCCCTTGGGGCGGGGATGGCAGACCAGAGAGGCCTAGCTTGTGGCTAGGCCTGGGGACAGTTGGTCCCAAAGATGAGGAGGTACTTGTGCCTCCTCCCATGGGAGACTTAGGTCTCAGACACTCCCTAAAGAGGGAGCCAAGGCCGGGCCACACTTGGACAAGGCCCGGGCCGGGAGAATACCGGCTAATCTTTAACTAACTAACTAACTGATCTAACTTGCAAACTTTACGTATTCATTTCTCTTTCCACAGGAAATTATTTTACTTACTAATTCTCGCTCCTTATTATTAAAATAAAAACCACACAATAACCAAATTCTGTAAACTCAGCATTGTAATCCTTATAGAGAATAAACTTTGAATTGAATTGAATTGAACAATCGTGTCACTATGATTTCGCGAGGCATCGGTTATAGGGAAGATTTTGACCCTCCAGGCCGTCAGGAGATCCTGACGTGTACCTGGCATAGGTACAGGTACCTGGCACAGGTACAGGTACCCTGGTACAGGTACCTGTGCCAGCCTCAGGGAGCATTAAGAACATAAAATACGTAGTCAATTATCAATTTCCTTCCACTTTGGTCAATGTTTCTCCCCCAGACACTGAAGGTCGGCCTCGGTACTACCTTCACTCGCAGTGGCTCTATAAATACTAACATTAATAATTTCTGTGAAATTTTCTCTTGAAATTCTTCACAATGGTGAGTTTTAGGCACAAGAGATATTCTTTGCTATTGATTACTTGTTGTTCTATAGTTTAAGTGCCATACTGCAGCAAAATTGGCACAATACTTGGCAAATATGGAGGAGTAATGGACAAAACAGATCCTTGGTTTCATTTTTAATGAGAGATTTGATCCAAGGAACAGGAGCTACCCTTTGCTTCTTTAGATTAGACCAGATTGCCCTCCATTCTCCAAATTCTCTGATTTCCCATACGGCTAGCGCTTCCCCATAATAAGTCACTGACTGGGTTATCCCAGGTTGTCTACACATATGCTGCTATATATGATAATATATGTAACTGTATTTGTGTATACCTGAATAAACTTACTTTAAACATCGAATATTTTTTTCTGTAACTACGATCTATATAGGTTTAAAACTTTTTTTTCTCTGTAATCTTCGGTAATGTATTATGTAAATTCTCCAACATTAATTTAGTTATGCAATGGAGATATATTTTGGACAAATAAAAAAATTGGTGTTTGATAACCCAAATAACCAAACCTAGACTAGACAGGCTTAGCTGGGTTACCTTTGGTTAGGTCTAGGTACTTAAAAATCTTTCTCTAACCATTTGTACAAAATATCATATGCTAGCTTCATTTCATTTCATTATTTGTGTATTGTTCCAGTCACGGTATTGTGCCTTTTTTTGTTATTCATTTCATAATTCACCGAATATTATACAATTTACATAATTTAAAACTGTAGTCATTAAACTAAGTAGTAACTTAATAATCTTGGCTTTCCGCAGGGTGAGCGTAAGGGTGTCAACAAGTACTACCCGCCCGACTATGATCCAAGTCGTGGTGGTCTCAATAAGTCGCAGGGCACACATGCCCTCCGAGAGCGTGCCAGGAAGCTGCACCTGGGCATCCTCATTATACGGTTTGAGATGCCATATAACATATGGTGCGAAGGATGCAACAACCATATTGGAACAGGTGTAAGGTGTGTGGTTTGTTGTTTGGCAGGACTGAAGTAAACAGTCCTTAAAGTCTAGTGGAATGCCAAGGTATTGGTATTGGTATGGGTGGGTATCAACTAAGTTTAACCCTTACACTGTCTCTTACCTAGCTCTTTGTTATTGACATGAGTGTCACTTAAATGGATTTACACTTTAAGCACCATCCTCAAATATGATGTATCTCATATCTGCTTGACAATAAAGCTTCAAGACTGTATGAGGCACAAGTGCACTCAAACCTTGAGTATGCTCCACTCTCTTGGATTTCCTGCCCCCTGTCTCATCTACAGCTTCTTGACAGAATAGAAAACAGAGCAAGATGAATCATCTCTTGCCTGGACAGAGAGAGAGAATGAGAATGAGGAGACTGTTTACTTCAGTGACCTTCAGCTCTTCTCATAATTCCATGCACATGCAGATGACTGTACAGGCAGGCTTTCCTTTATGGCATGTTGCTAATACAGTGGTTTTCAGTTATACCCATTCCTCACTTATTCAGATTTCCTACAATAAATACAACCTCTCCTCACTTAACAATGTACTCATTTACCGACGGCTCTCTGACCAGTATGCATACCTAAATAATGTATATTAGAGCTCATTTTCTCTATTCTGTTTATTACAATATACAGTACACTACTGTATAAACATTTAAAAATATACCAGAAATGGTATATATGGCATAAAGGTGACATTAAAACAATATCAAAGATAGTTGACACAAACCCACTACCATTATAGTATGCTCCTCACTTAGCGACGAATTCGTTTACCAACGAGGTCTTAGGAATGGGACTTTGTCGTTAAGTGAGGAGAGGCTGTATATTCACCACTCACTATAAGAAAAGGACGAAAATATTTTAAAGTTAAGTAATGGCTAGCTCTACTGCTCACTTAATATATGACAGAGTAAACATGTTATCAGGCTTTTATATGTATTTGAAAGTGAAAAAGGCAGTGTTTCACTTCAGAGCAATTTTTGCTTTACAGCAGTAGCCTGGAACCCAACCTGCTGTATAAGCAGGGCCCTCCTGTACTCTGACATTTACAAATCCAAGAGAGGAAATACTGGATGCTCTAAAGTTATGTCAGTCACCAGCTTACAGCTATATAAGCCTGAAAAAAACAATGGCAATTCACATTTGCTCCTGATATAACACAAATGATGATGGTCTCTAGGCACCATGATGGTAATATACTGTAATGCTGGAGCAGTGGTAAAAATGATTGGTAGTGTTGGTGCCTGGGGATGAAACTGATATCCTTGGGGTGAAATTTGACTCCAAACTGACTATTAAGAACCACATTGTAAATCTTCCAAACAAAGTGGCCACAAAGCTTACAGCACTTAGATGTATCTCACATCTGTCAACGGCAGGGGTTGCAAGATTCTGTACGAGGCTCAAGTATGCTCACATCTTGAGTATGCTCCACTTTTTTGGATTGCCTGGCCCCCATCTCATTTACAACTTCTTGACAAAATAGAGAACAGTGCAAGACAACTCGTCTCCTGCTTGGAACTGGCCTGGTCGGATCTGTCATTTCAGCAGAGCCTTCAACACTAATACCAGAGGGATGTGGTGGCTTTTCTGTTATGTATAAGGCCAATATTGTCTAGGTAATACACTTGGCTCCACTCCATGGACAGTGAGAAGTGAACCTCTACATGACAAGATGGGTAGCAGATAGCAGCAACACTATAGTTGTACCCTTCTTAAGAACATCACTTCATCTGAGATCATTTATTCCTAGGAAAACTTGAGTCTGGAACATATCCATACAACATAATGACCAACAAAATAAAGTCAATTGACCAGATGAAATCGCTGACAAACATATGGCTCCAACTTCATCCTGTTCCCTATTTGTAAGGCTCTTGACAATAAAAATGCTTTGAAATGAGCTAGTGTGGGTAACAGCTCTTAGCTCGTAAATAAAGGTAGGAACCCTTAACCTAACCTTGTAAAACCCTTGTGTAAAAAAAAGAGAAGGAAAGAAAGATAAAAAAATGAAAGAGCTCGTAACCTAATCCTGTAAAACCATGTATAAAAAACAAGAGAAAAAATATAGAAAAAAAAGAGAATAAGAGGGAAAAGAAAAAAGATAAAAAAACAGAAAAAGGAAAAGGAGAGGGAAAAAGAAAGAGAAAAAGAAAAACAGTAATAATAATACAATGGACCCCCGGTTAACGATATTTTTTCATTCCAGAAGTATGTTCAGGTGCCAGTACTGACCGAATTTGTTCCCATAAGGAATATTGTGAAGTAGGTTAGTCCATTTCAGACCCCCAAAATACACGTACAAACGCACTTACATAAATACACTTACATAATTGGTCGCACTGGGAGGTGATCGTTAAGCGGGGGTCCACTGTACAGAGTGGTCATCACTAATCTGGCAATCAGTTATCCCGTTGCATCAGTAATCGGGCACTAATTTCGGCTAGCATAATTTGAAATTTCATCATTATACTGACTCAGAAATTGTGTAGATGGTTGTAAATCTGCAGCAGCAAGGCAGTGGAGGAGAAAGCAGTGATGAAAATGAGGAAGATGTATTAGAAAGTCTCTATTGATAGGTTAATTAAGTGTATTCTAACCTAACCACTCTGTAATCCGGCCAACTCACTAATCCGGCACACTACAGGTCCCGGTGATGCCGGATTAGTGATGGCCAACCTGTAATAGAAAAATAGAAGAAAAAAGAGAAAAAAGGGAGAGAAAAAAGAAAAAAAGCAGAGAAAAAAGAAAAAAAGGAGAGAGAGAAAAGAGAAAAAAGAAAATGAGAAAAAAGAGGAAAAAAAAAGAGGGGGAAAATGAGAGATAAAGATATAAAAAAGAGAAAAATAAAAATGAAAAAAGAAAGAGGGAGAAAAGGAGAGAGAAAGATAGATAGATCAAAGTACAGTATTAGCTTTTTCCATTGTGTGCCCAGTCATACCATCAATGCAGTGGACATAGTCCATTTTGTGGGTGCTTGTCTGTGTCTAGTAGTCAGTTTATTAAGTGGACTCCATCCAAATTAGTATCTTTTATCCCAAATGTCCTATATGACTCCAGTTGAGTTTGTGTTCTAGCATACTTTTTTTTCTTCTACTAGAACTTTTTTTTTTTAATGTACTTCTACTAATAAGGGGAGGAAGTGACAATTTACATTATTAATTGAGGTAATTGTCCAATTTTCTCTGTTTTTTTCTTCTACATATGCTTAATTGAAACTTTCAATACAGCCTCTCCACACTTAACAACAGAGTTCTGTTCCTTAGACCATGTCAGTAAACGAATTCATCGCTACGTGAGGACCATATTATAATGGTAGTGGGTTTGTCATCTATCTCTGATATTGTTTTAATGTCACCTTTGCACCATTTATAACATTTCTGGTATATTTTTAAATGTTTATACAGCAGTGTACTGTATATTGTAATAAACAGAATAGAAGAAATCAGCTCTAATATACATTATGTATTTAGGTATGCATACGGGTCAGAGAGCCCGTCGTAAGTCCGAGCCGTCAGTAAACGAGTACATTGCTAAGTGAGGAGAGGCTGTATAATGAATTTTTGTTACAAGGGAGACACCTTCCCCATATTAGTCTGTTTTACAGAGGTATCGCTGTGCTAGTGTAAGTACTTGTAAAGTTCTTAATACTACTATTAATACTCACAAACTGTGTACTTAATACTAGTACAGGTATTTGAATAAAGATTCTAATATGTGAATTGAGTTTTGTGTGACAGTTCAGCATGAATAATTACTGTACATAATAAAGTGGTTTAGATTACAAGGGGGAGTAGCACTTGTGTAAGTTAACTGGATGAGATACAATTGACATAATAAATGTTTACGATGGTTACACTTTAAATGTTACATCAATTGAGGATACATTTTTTTGACAATGTTTTTGAAGCTATTGTAAGTCCTTGAATTAAGAGACCTTGATTTAGTTCACTTCGGAAATACAGGACAAAAGCCATGGGCTAATTGATTTAGAAATAAGGGACAAAATTTATTGGTTTGCAGAGTTGTCAGTTGTTGTTATAATATGGTAAACAATCTCATTTCTATCTTCTACAATCACTATTACTCTACAAAACCAAGTGCATACCATAATCCACAGTATATTCTTAATTGTATGACTCTTAGAGAGTTTTTCACTTGTTTTTAATGTTTTTTTTTTTATTAACACACTGGCCGATTCCCACCAAGGCAGGGTTTTTAATGTATCTTCTATAATAATAATAATAAAATAATAAAGGCAGTGTATTTTCATAAATCTTCTGAAAATTTCAGGTATAATGCAGAGAAGAAGAAAGTTGGAATGTATTACTCAACTCCCATCTATCAATTCCGCATGAAGTGCCATTTGTGTCCCAACCACTTTGAAATTAAAACAGATCCAGCGGTTAGTATAAATGTGTTTTATACATGGGGATCCTGGAACACAATGCCTATGTTTTGTAAAAAGATCTTATGTGTAACACATGTGGGTTGTGGATAAAGTGGTACAGTAGCAACTTTGGTTCACATCTGTGGATCCAGAAAATGTGAGGCATGTTTCATTACACCTGCTGCCCCTGGCAAGACAGTTGCTGAACGAGTGATGGTGAATGTATTTACTTTTTTGGCTCTTACTACCTTGGTAGCCAACATTCATGGTAAGACAGTTCATGAATGAATGATGGTGAATGTGTTTCCTGCTTAAAGTCACTTTGCCTTGATGAGGCAAATTAATTGTCTTAAAAAAATTATGTATAATACCATATATTGAAAGTTTATATTAATAATCACGGATATTTTGCAGAACCTAGATTATGAAATAGTAAGCGGTGCAAGGCGGCAAGAACGACGTTGGGATCCAACAGAGAATGAGCAAGTTGTTCCAGAGGATAAAGAGGTAAACTAATGTAATTGTTAATTTATTTAATAGGAAACTGGACCACTATTTTCTGCAAATGCCTGGTAAGCATGATGTGACCGAAAACGAGGGTTGATTAGTTTTACAATTTATAGATATTTGAGATTGTAATAAAGTTGGTAGAATTACCGACAATATGTAAAGTAAAAGGACACAAGTGCAACTAATGTGATATTTTATTGTGGCAACATTTCGCTCTCCAGGAGCTTGATAAAGCTCCTGGAGAGCGAAACGTTGCCACAATAAAATGTCACATTAGTTGCACTTGTGTCCTTTTACTTTACAGATATTTGAGATCACTGCTGCAGTTTGGAGACCCTTGCTCTGCAAAGATGAGATGTCTGTGCACTTATGGCAAAACAGCTACTGAATAATGATGGTGAATGTTTCCTTTTTTTGGGGGTCACCCTACCTCAGTGGATGACCCAAGAAGATACAGTAGAGTAACAATAGTAGGTTAACAGGAGAAGCCTATAATTATGTATAGCATTTTGGGCAGTCTCAGTTAAGCTAAGGGTTCTAACAGTATAACAAAAAATGTATTAAACAATGTATGTGCAGTAGGCATCATATATGTGCACATGCATGAACTCACACAGATAATTGTTTAAAGCAAAATACTGAAATATGCATGGGTTACCTAACCTAGTATTTTGTAGGATTCCCCTTCCTCTTAATTCACTCCTTACATCTCCTAGGCACTAATAAGGCTAATATGTGGAGGATTGAAGAGTCAGAATCCTCCCACAGTTGCTTAATTGCACTCAATAGATTGGGGACAGTGGATTCGTCCATACCACAGGCTTATGCTTAATAAAGTTTTACATGTTCTCTATAAGATTTAAGTACAGTGAGTTACCAGGCCAGTCATTAAAGACTGAAATTTCACAATCATTTAGCCAATCATTTGTCTTTGGCTTCACTTTTCTTACAGCCCTATCTATATTAAACAACATGGTGGCATCATGCATCCCTGTCTAAGGCCTACTTTTACTGGGAAAGAATCTCCCTCTCTCTCCTACATACTCTAACCTGGGCCTCACTATCCTTGTAAAAACTCTCAGCTGCTTTCAGTAACCTACCACCTATTCCATACATTTGCATCATCTGCCACACTGCTCTCCTATCCACCCTGTCATTTGCTTTTCCAAATCCATAAATGCAATACAGTCGGGCCCCACTTATTCGGCAGGTTAGGTTCCAGGCTACTGCCAGAAAGCAGACTTTGCTGGAGAGCAGAACTCCATTTTTCTATTTATAAATGCATATAAATGCCAGATAACAAGTTTACACTCACATATATTAAGTTAGCAATAAAACTAGGCATTAAAAAGTAAAATACACACACAGTACACTCATTATTTACCTCAAAATATTTGTAGTCTTAATGTAGGGCAAAAGGTGAGTAGTATTTACTCTAAGAAGTCAGGTGTGGTAGCCCTCCTGGCCACCCCACCGACACATACTATACCACGATGCTTAAAGCTCCCTAGAGCGATAAAATGCATATACAGTAGACGCATTACTTACCTTAAAATATTTGTAGTCTTAATGGTCTAAATGTAGGGCGAGAGGTGAAAAGTGTTTATTTGTAGAAAGTCTTGTGGGAGGTATGGCATCCTGCCTGCCACTTATACCTAGTATGACATTAAGCTCCCTAGAGAGATAAACTGCATATAGTATAGTACACTCATTAATTACCTTAAAATATTTGTAGTCTTAATGTAGGGTGAGAGGTGAGTTTTATTTCTATGCAGTCAGGTTGGGAAGTATGGGTAGCCAGGAAGGGCAGCCCTCTCCACCCCACCCACACATAATGTAAGCAAACCAGATGAACGCGTCTGGTTTTTGTCACAAGTCCTACAAGTTACTTGGCCATCACAAGTCCTACAAGTTGCCTGGCTACCACAAGTCCTACAAGTTTCCTGGCTATCACAAGGCCTACAAGTTGCTTGGCTATCACAAGTCCTACAAGTTGCCTGGCTACCACAAGTCCTACAAGTTGCCTGGCTACCACAAGTTGCCTGGCTACCACAAGTCCTACAAGTTGCCTGGCTACCACAAGTCCTACAAGTTTCCTGGCTACCACAAGTTGCTAGGCTACCACAAGCCCTACAAGTTGCCTGGCTACCACAAGTCCTACAAGTTTCCTGGCTACCACAAGTTGCTAGGCTACCACAAGCCCTACAAGTTGCCTGGCTACCACAAGTCCTACAAGTTGCCTGGCTACCACAAGTCCTACAAGTTGCCTGGCTACCACAAGTCCTACAAGTTGCCTGGCTACCACAAGTCAAGTCACCTGGCTACCACATCTCATATTTATGTTAATTTATTCTACTGTGGGGTGTATTTAGATGGATTAAGCAAAATGTCTATATTAATATTTTATACGATATTTAATACTCCTTATAGTGATTATTACAGTGGACCCCCGGTTAACGATATTTTTTCACTCCAGAAGTATGTTCAGGTGCCAGTACCGACCGAATTTGTTCCCATAAGAAATATTGTGAAGTAGATTAGTCCATTTCAGACCCCTAAACATACACGTACAAACGCACTTACATAAATACACTTACATAATTGGTCACATTCGGAGGTAATCGTTATGCGGGGGTCCACTGTATTGTGTTATTATTATTATTATCATTAATATGGCATCTTCAAAACTAATAAGACACTTAGTGATTTTAATGTGTACCTGCATGCCAGCACAGTAAGTTTACTTAGGTACAGGTACACATGTGTATAATTATCAGTTATAATAATAATAAGAGATAAGATAAGATTTCGTTCGGATTTTTAACCCCGGAGGGTTAGCCACCCAGGATAACCCAAGAAAGTCAGTGCGTCATCGAGGACTGTCTAACTTATTTCCATTGGGGTCCTTAATCTTGTCCCCCAGGATGCGACCCACACCAGTCGACTAACACCCAGGTACCTATTTGCTGCTAGGTGAACAGGACAACAGGTGTAAGGAAACGTGTCGAAATGTTTCCACCCGCCGGGAATCGAACCCGGGCCCTCCGTGTGTGAAGCGGGAGCTTTAGCCACCGGGACACCGGGCCACCTATGTAGGTATGTAGTCCGCCTGGGCTACATACCTACACTATATTTAATGTGGCCCAGAGCCATATTATTACCATCGACATACCATGTTCACTGAGTTTAATCGTTTCTAACAACTACCTTTAGATGTCATCATAAACAAAGGGAGAAATAATGAATAATTTATGCCGAGAATTGTAAACAAAAGCGTTATGTATTAAGGGGGGTGACTTAATGGTTTCCCTCCGCCCGGCTACCACACCTCCATAGTATATAAACAAAATGTTTATATGTTATGTGTTTCTTATATAATTTCGAAGAAAATATAATAGATGGATTAATGAAAATATCTGTTTTAATATAAAATAAGACATTTAATGTGCCCAAGTGATTATTATTAGTATTACGTAATGTTTTCCCTCCACCTGGCAACACCTCCATAGCATATAAACAGCATGTTTATATGCTATGTATCACGTTTCTTATATAATTTTGAAGAAAATATCAAAGATGGATTAATGAAAATATCTATATTGATGTAAAATTAGACATTTAATGTACCCAAGAGTGATTATTATTACATAATAGAGAGATGTGCTCATGGAGAATGTAAACAAACCGGGTGGCCTGTGCCATATTTGAAAGACCACTTGCCATATAGAAAGTTTTCGTCATAATTTGAGATCACCGTATTAACGGAACGGTGTAAGGCGAAACGCTGAAAAGTAGGGCCCAACTGTACAGACTTTTTTGCCCTTATCTAAATACCGTTCACTTATATGCTTCAATGTAAACACCTCGTACCCTTCCTAAAGCCTCCTTGTTCATCTGCAATCCTCCTCTGCCTTACCCTTAATGCTTTTAATTATTATAATTATTATTATTATTATTATTATTATTATTTTATTTTTATTATCACACCGGCCGATTCCCACCAAGGCAGGGTGGCCCGAAAAAGAAAAACTTTCACCATCATTCACTCCATCACTGTCTTGCCAGAAGGGTGCTTTACACTACAGTTTTTAAACTGCAACATTAACACCCCTCCTTCAGAGTGCAGGCACTGTAAATTTTCCCCTCCTCCCAGGACTCCCCAAATCCGGCCTGCCGGTTTCCCCTGAAATCCCTTCATAAATGTTACTTTGCTCACACTCCAACGCAACGTCAAGTATAAAAACCATTTGTCTCCATTCACTCCTATCAAAACACGCTCACGCATGCCCCGCTGGAAGTCCAAGCCCCTCGCACACAAAACCTCCTTTACCCCCCTCCAACCTTCCTAAAGGCCGACCCCACCCCGCCTTCCTTCCACTACAACTGATACACTCTTGAAGTATTCTTTCGCTCCATTACTCCTACATGTCCGAACCACCTCACAAACCCTCCTCAGCCCTCTGACAACGAGAAGGTTGTAATATTATTATTATTATTATTATTATTATTATTATTATATTATTATTATTATTATATTAATATTATAATTATAAAAACTAAGCACTCAACCCCCAGGGTCATACAGCACTGCAATTCTTTCAGTAATAACTCTACCATACACCTTCCCAGGTATACTCATTATGCTTATTTCCCTACAGTAGTTCCTTGCACTCTCTTATGTCTCATTTGCCTTTATACAAAGAAACTATGCATACTGTCAGTCCCTAGGTACCTTTCCCTCTTTCATATATTTATTAAATAAAAGCACCAACCACTCAATAACTATATCCCCATCTGCTGTTAACATTTATGTTTTGATCCCATCAGTCCCAGTTGCTTTACCCCCTTTCATTTTACGCACAGCCACACTCACATTTGTCTCTTCCTCACTCCTAAAGGATTTTATACCTCCTTGGCCAGTGTAGAAAATCAGAGTTTCACTCTCTTCATCAGTATTTTAGTTCCTCAAAATATTCCTTCCATCTTCCTGATGCCTC